AAGGATCAAAGATTTATTTCCCAATGACTAAAATCAACTAAAGAAAATTCCATAATAAAAGAACGTATAGGTTACCTACATATTACTATATGTATAGACAAGTATTGAAAAAATACAGACCTTCGTTTTCTTCGGCAAAAATCAAAACGTATTGCGTGTATTGTTATCGTCATAATGTTAATTAGCCGAAAAATATAAAGTAGTTTTCGCTACTTCACTGCAAATGCCGCACAGTGGTCAAAAACTTATTATACCTAGACAAAAATGTAACAATAAAAATGCCACCCAAAACTAAATTATTCACGGAGAATTAGACGTGACGAATGTCGCCAGATTGTGAAAAAAAAAGTTATTAAGTAGTGCAAAATTGGGTGAACATATTAGTATAAAATACTATTTCTTGGGTGGTACTTTAAGAAGTGGGATAAGCATTCAAGTGGCCTTTTGGAGTATTTATTTTAAGGATTACGCACATTACGGCCACTGTAGGACTTGCCTGCCCTTTGTTGGACATGTTTTGTTATGAGAAAGCTTCCTCTTCAAATTTTATTTACTTACGATATGGACGCTTAAATATTTGAAACCGAATTTTTGAATGACAATGGCCATGAGGAGTTTGATATAAAAAATGAGACAGTTTGTATTGTGCCGTTACCATATTACGTCTTAAAATTATTTAGAAATTTTTGGAATGTTTATATTGAAATGTTATCAATTTTGTTTAACGGAATCATAATGTTTATACATTATGTAATGACAGTAAACAAGTCTTATAACAATATGGAACCTATTATCAAAAAACTTACCCAATATATTTCTATGGTCACTATGGTCATCAGAGATAAATTGACCACCGAAGCCATCGCTAAATACATACAATACAATGAGTTATTACCCCCTACAGTTTTATTTTACTACAATTTTCATAAGCAATATCCAAAGGGACTTTAAATCCTTCAAAAATGGATACTAATATTGTTAATAGAAACTCCATCCGTCTTTTCTTGACGAAGATTTATGTTTGGGATTGCAACAATTGTGTAGAAATCGAAAAAAAATAAAAGGAAGCGGCGCTAACTTCTAGAAACGATAATCCCTAAGGAATTGCAACCCTTCGTCGATTTTGGATATTCTTGGACATTTTTTTGTCCAGATAAAGTGTTGAATGGGAGCATTGTGCGCGCGTAATGTACAGGAAGTTATTGAGTTCAATTGTTCACGCTTCGATGCCCAGTCTGTATACATATTAATAAATGAAAGTAGCTTAATTATGGTATAATAGCTTAGAAGGAATACGTTATGTAACAGGAATTTGAGGACTACACTTAATTCATTTAAAAATAGAGATCAAACATCTCAGAAGACTCAACGGGTCACATATGTCTGTAATGAGAGTTATTTATTTGTAATGTTATTTATGGAAGCCCAAAAATTTCATTATGTCATCAAAAATAATTCCGGTACATGACTTCGTTTCGAATAAAGGGGCCAAAACTGATTGATTAATTTCAAACGTCAAGAGCTTAAATTCTTTTTTCAAAATTCAAATCGAGCGAAAAAAAGATAAACAGTTTTGTACCAAAAAGGTTTACAAACACAAAAGTTTGACTCCTCCAAACAGTACTAAGGTCGTCGGCACACTTTCAATATTTTTACACAAATGATTCATGAACGCTAATTCGTTTCTTTTTAAATGTAAATTAGCGAATGCGTGATTTTCCACCTTTACATGTGAAGTGTGCTATGTAAACAAAGGTACGAATATATAAAAAAGTGTTTTTAGTCTATGAACGGGGTCAAGAGATGTGTGTGTCATTGTCTCACTGGTTACTGGCATGTTTTTCTTTTTATTTTCTTATTTGCATTAAGTTTTTGAATTTAGAATACAATGTGATGTTCCGATTTTTTTCTTTCTTTTATTCAAATAGTTTAAAAATAGATAAAATAGAATAATCAAATGCTAAATATTATAGTAAGCAAGTGTAAAATAAATGACTCCCATAATAATGACTAATGGCTAATATTTATCACAATTTTTGTCTATTGTTTATGAGGCTATTTATAATGGATACAAATATTGGAACATTATTTAATCATTAAGTTGAAATAGTATAAAATAGTGTCACAGAAGTTAATGACTTAATGAGATACCTTTAAGATACGACATTCTTCACTTTATTTTTAAAATCACAATATTTATAATATAAAGCTAATAATTAATTTCAAAATTTCAATTCATTACCTAAAACGAAAAAAAGTATCTTTGAATAACCGCGCAAATAAAAAGCGCAGTTTAACCAACAAAACATGGCGATCAGAAACCAAACTTCGTTATTAATTGAATTATCATTGCGTATCTACTTGTTAGACTTTACATTACACTGGTACCTGATAATTCTAGCCACTCAATCAAACAAGCTAAGTGCACAGCAGTTCAACAAGTGAAAGGGGAAATGTGCCGGGTTCGGTGCCCGGGCTGATCACAGCTTCCTTGTTCCGACTCTGTAATATATACTTCCTAACGTTTTACTGTCGTTGTAACTAATATTTGTATTGGAAAGCAATGATGTTGGTTAGTTTATTGTAATTATACTTATTGATATTTTTATTTTAATATTCGACAATTATTATTATGAATAATGTCATTTTTTTATTATTAAATACCTGTTTTATTTATGGTTTTAATTATTATGATTCCCGTCCTAATAGGGTCCTGTCCAGGATAAGAAAATTAAAAATCTTATTAGTCCGTCAATTAGATAATGAAAAAATATTAGCCACGTAATTTTTTGTATTAAGTTGCAATACTTAGATAAAATGGCGCTAAGTTTAGGAGTGGGGCGTCGTTACGTCATAACGTGCTACAAATTTGGCACGCTGTGACGTCACACGATATTTCAAATTCTAATGTTTTAAAATAATCTATCAGACGGACATTAAAACAAAATTTAGGAAACTACCCTATTGTGACTGAATTATACTTAACAAGTAAATAATGGTAAATGGATTATTGTTAATTTTAATGAGAGGTGTTTGGAATTGGTAATAGGCTTATTCTCTATCTTTCAACAGCTTTTATTTACAGCAACAGTTAAAATATGGTCGACTTTACAAACTGTGGTGATTTTTTGGGGTGTTCGGTTATTTCATATCAGATTTTCTTAATATTTATAGAGATACATGTTATAATTGTCGTCAATCATAAACCCAGTGTTTGTATCACTATAAATAAGTTTATTTGTTTCAAGTAAAAAACTAGTTTCTCAAACAAATCATGGGATAAAAATAAACTAAAACGATCACACGATGTTAGAATAATTTCTATTTATACTCCGCAATATGAAACAAGTTATTGTACATAAGTATTTTATTTATATCTATCTAGAGGTACTATCTATATTTATCTATTACTTATAATAAATCTGTAGAGAGGTCAATTCTGTACATAAAATATATTTAAAAAATAACTATCAAGGGGTGGTTAGAGATCGCTACTGATGCCAAAAATGCAATCAGTAAAATTTTTGTCTGTCTGTCTGTCTGTCTGTATGTTCGTTATGGAAACAAAAATTACTCGACGGATTTTAACGAAATTTGGCACAATTATTCTTCATACTCCTGGGCAGGTTATAGTATACTTTTCATTGCGCTACGATCAATAGGAGCAGAGCAGTGAAGGGAAATATTGGGAAAACGGGAGAAGTTACTCCATTTTTTAAGCTTCCGTCGCGTATGCAGGCTTATAGGTTAAAGCTGCATAGAAACCATGTATGACGGAAATATTCTCCTTAAAATTATATAAAAAATATTCCTCGACAGCATATGTCTATCTTTTATGGTTGACTCACAATAACACGTGAAACTCCGGATAGCTTAGCAATTCGGTGATTTCTGATTGTATTTATCTACTCTAACGTTTACAATACTCATTCATAGACTTTACGCTGTAACTGAAAGGCCAATGGTTGAAATTAGCTTGACTCGATATTATAAATGAAAATATGTGAGTTTATGTGTATGTTTGTTACTCAGTCATATTAAAACGACTGAAGGGACCGGAATGAAATTCGGAACAGAGGTAGATTATGGTCTGAAGTGATACATAGGCATTTTACCCCTAGGATCGCGGGCGAAGCCGCTGGCAGAAGCTAGTACATATAATAAAATCGTAGAAAAGTCAAACTGTACATAGAATATATTTTTTTTTAAATACTTCGGGCGTGATCTACAGTCGACATAGAAGCCAAAAATGTGGTATTAAAACTTTTTGTCTGTTTGTCTGTATGTATGTCCGGGATGATCTCAAAAGGTACTGCATGGATTTACTTCAAATTCTGCATGAATATTACTAACAGGTCGGGTCAACATATAGGATACCAGTGAACGACGGAGTAAAGTCGCAGCAACAGCTAGTATACATATAATAAATTGATCCAATAACTATAAACAACAGGTTTATAATCTTGCAAGTATTCCAGACATCTGAGATTACCGATCCCGGGCCGGATACGACTCGGTCCGGCTGCCGGCTGCCGGCTTTCTTTTCCGGGTCACAGAAAACTACACACTTCCCGGACAACGGCCATTTTCCTCATGATAAGTTATTTTTGAACTAATATTGAATTGATGTTGTATTAAGATTGTAATGAGTGTTTTACTTTCGATTTGTGTATGGGATTTTGATTGCTTATCTTATCTTATTAGGTACCTAGTTAATGTAGGGAACTTCTTCATATTAACTAGTCTATGGATTGTTAGATTTTTCGCTGGAGGGATTTTGAGTAATTTTAGTGCATGTGTGATATTTATCATTCATACATGAAGATAGTCTGTATATAGGTATTGACAATTTTATAAAAAATGTATTAAGTAGGTATGGGAGAGCCATGCTTCGGCACGAATGGGCCGGCTCGAGCGGAGTGATACCACGGACTCACAGAAAACCGACGTGAAGCAACGCTTGCGTTGTGTTTCGTCGTGTGAGTGAGGTTACCAATCACCCTCCCCTTCCCCAATATCCCCAATTCCTGAATCCCTATCGATCCTCAAACTCCTAATCCCCAAAAGGCCGGTAACGCACTTGTAACACCTCTAGTGTTTCAGGTGTTCATGAGCGACGCTGATTGCTTACCATCAGGTGATCCGTCTGCTCGTTTACCAGCTTATGCCATAAAAAAAAATTGTACCTAGACCGGCCACGTTTAATTTTTGTATGTTTTTTATTTCTTGCGAATTTACATTGGAAACACAACTAAAATTTTACCTATACCACACTTATTTATATGTATATTAATGATTTTTATGAAGACCACCAGCGTGTTAATAGCTTTCTACATCTACGACAATAATAAACTCATTAAGTAATCCAGCTACAGTCTTGACACTTGTAGTACACCAACAGCAATTATAGAAACAATAGACGTTACGACTCTAGCACGACACACGATATGTTAATCTTCGATACATACATAATCAAATAAAATATACTAATATTATAAAAGGGGATAAATATAATGACCACCATATAATGCTTTGATACCCTTAGTTTTGTAACCAAAAATATCTACTTAACACCAGAAAAATGAAGTAAAAAAATACAATAGTACTAGCTATTTTTGTCACGACTCCACTTTTAATTGTTTTCGACCACCAAATTTAGTAAATGATCACCAAATATTAGGTTAGGTTAGGATTTTGTTTTAAAAAAAGTTTGGTTAGGTTGGTTAAATTTTGGTGATCATTTAGGGTTACTCATGATTTACTTGGAGTCATTTTACTTAAATAGGATAGCAAAGTGTTAAAACTTCGGTTATAATTTTACGTTAAAATGCGAGTTTCGTTTTGGTGATCATTTACTATTTTTGTCTGCTATTTGTTACTATATCTGGTGGTAAGTTAAACATAAGCCATTATAAAACCAGCGGCTTCGCCCGCGTCTTAGGGTAAAAAGTACCCTATGTGTTACTCCTCTTACCTCTGTTCCTTATCCCGGTCCCCTTAGTCGTTTTGATGTGATTGAGTAAACAACAAACTCTTTCACATTAATAATATCGGTTCAAGCAAAATTTAACCATCGGCCCTACAGTTACAGCGTAAAGCTCACTGCGGGCAAGCTAACATTCGACAAACTTATATTTCCGTTTGGTATAGTAACTGTGTCTAGGCATTGAGCCGCACGAGTAAGTTTGTTTTTTTTGTGTACCTATAGTACATACTATTTCGGAATAAAAAGTGTTAACCCAGTGTTATGCCTACGATATTAAATAAAGTATAATCTTACCAAGTTTCATCGAAATCGGACCGGTAGTTTTTGCGTGATGCGTGAACATGCAGACAGACAGACAAACAAATTTTTTTATCTATCTAGTGGCACCCCCACTATTTATTTTTTTAATACCTATATTCAATGTACAAAATTTTTACTTCTACTGTTTTATAATCTGTTTAGATATGTAAAAGTTTGTCAGGATGTACGGACGTATGTTTGTTATCCCTAATTCCCTACAACCAAAAATTACCGAATAGATCCGAATAAGAAGCGCAGAGATACATTTCATATAGGATAATTTTTATCCCGGAAATACGAGCAAAGCTGCTAAGCATAAGCTAGTATTAGGTAAATACAAGTAGATTAAGATAAGATTAAGTGTGGGAGAGCCATGCTTCAGCACGAATGGGCCGGCTCGACGAGGTTACCGGAAGCTCAATTACCTCCATCTCCTGCCCAGTCTATCCTAATCTATGAATCCCCCACAATTCTCAAATTCCCAATTCCTAAAAGGCTGGTAACGCACTTGTAACGCTTCTGATGTTTCGGGTGTCTATGGGCGACGCCGATTACTTACCATCAGGTGATCCGTCTGCTCGTTTACCCGCTCATTCCATAAAAAAAGATGAAACGCAATGTACAATAATGTTATTTGATCATAATTAATTCCATTAGATACATAAAACCATCCAAGTACATAAAATGTAAACATGTGTCCAAAAAATCTATGCATAACAATGACGTCATACTTAAGTTGGTAGGTATAGTGCAAGTAATAATATATTTTACGATCTTGTGTAGCGCAGGCTGCGCGGGCGCCGGTGCAGTGCTAAATGTTCTCATATATTTACGACGTGTGAGATCATACACTTTCCATGTTATTTGCAAAACTGTTTGTCTTTATTTTTCTGTTTAGCTACTTAATTTTATTTAAAGTAACTTTTAAAAATTTAGTTTTTTTGAGCAAAAAGTGGAAACAATGCTATTGTGATCCAATGATGAGTGAATTTTATTTCGATATAAATATTTTGATTTAAATTATTTTATTTTAAATGGCGATATCAGTCTTCTGGGTTTGTCTATTCTATTCAAAACACCTTCTATTGTAATCACTCTTACTTCTGAGTTTATTTCAGCATTTCTTCTCAAAATGGTCAATCGGGATATATATAATTAACATGTAAAAACATCGATATGTAGCCTATTTGCAAAATAAATTTACTTAATTATTGTGTTTTTCGGCTTACCTACGTAATTATTTAACGAGGAACTCTTCAACTCTACAGTTTCAAGCCATGCTTTACACATTACAGAATAATTAATTCACTCGTTTCACTTACGACCGCTTGAGCAATTAAGCAGTCTAAAATTAAAACAAATACGTAAGTCCATAATGTAACACTAGGTTGGCTCTATGACGATTCCTGTCCTGTCTGTAGTTGGGAATGGGGACAGGATGTACTGCATTGCAATGTCACGCATTACATATGCCAGGCATAGCCTGATAGCCAGGCTATGACTAATGTTTCGCTGCTTATTACAAGGAGTCGAATGCTAAACCATTTCCAATGCACTTTCTACCTTCATGTTTAATTAGGTGTACTGAGAAATTATTTTCGAATGTTCTATGAAATATGAATTATAATTATGTTTAGACCTACCTGCCTGCCTGCATGACTGCCTCGTTGGCCGAGTGGTCGTAAGTGCGACTGCCGGGCAAGGGGTCTCGGGTTCGATTTCCGGGTCGGGCAAAGTATTACTGGGTTTTTAAATATTCTCAGTAGTAGCACGGAGTCTGGATTGTGCCCGGTATATGGCAATAGGCTCACCCCCTATTACATGGGACTCATAACATAAATAGTGAAAAGTGAGTGTTACATTGTACAGTGGTATAATGTGCACCTCTGCCTACCCCTTCGGGGATAAAAGGCGTGATGTTATGTTATGTTTAGACCTACCTCACTGGGCAGTCTAGCTGTGTGCACTGTGTTGTTAGATTGTTTTTTTATGGACGTGACTACTGGTAATTTAGACACGAAGGCTGTTGAATATTTCACCGCACTTGTAAACCGAAGTAACATTTCGTTTCAGCGTTTATTTTATTAACTACTTCAATGTTCGTATTTTTGGATTGACGTGGAGTCGATAGGTCATCAGGTCGCGCGCCTGTGCCTCTTGGAAAAAAACTGTACAGCTTATGTACATTGGAACGGCTCATTTGGACAAGCGTATCTCATAATAGGGTAGTTTCCAAGGTAAGAAAATTAAATATCTAATTAGTCCTTCAGTTAGATAATGAAAAAATATTAGACACGTATTTTTTAATTTTCCCGTATATAGTGACAATACTTAAATTAAATGGATATAAGTTTAGGAGTGGGAGGTAAATACGTTAGAGTGTGATATATTTTGTTGCACGCTGTGACGTCACACGACATTTCTAATCAATATAAATCGTAATCAAAATACGTGTCTAATATTTTAAAATAATCTACCAGACGGACATTAAAATAAAATTTAGGAAACTACCCTATTTCGTAGGCACGTGGTAAAAACTTATTATTGTGAATAGACTGAAATATTTGAACATTTAGTTATAGGTATCATTTGATTTTACCCTTTCGTCGAACGATATTAATGATGCAGAATCTACTATTTGTTATATATTCGTAAATAAATCAATGTTATAGTCAGTAATACATTGTGATACAATCATAAATGAACTACTAAATAACGAATGCATACACTACTGCTTTCCCTACTAACACGTGGGTGTAATGAAGCGTTGCGTACATAATACGAACCAAATTTGGTAATAAGAACATTTCCTGGTACATTTTCTTTTCAGGGTTCTTCATACACATCAACGTTTTGTCTCCTGCAGTAATTCACCGAGAGAAGTGGAAACTATCGTTTTTTTCTTCTCCTCTTATAATATCTTCTAATTCACTTCGTTGCGGGACTCAAGACAGTTATTCATGACCCTGGCACGCGACTTCAGTGTTCCGGTGTTTTCATAGTTGTATCTACTGTAGATCCTGGCTTACAGGAGTAGCAGTGGCATTGGTATGATGTGGCGGACTTGTCCCATTAAAAATAACAACACATATCAACAGTATGTAACAGTTCACGACTCCTCCTAAGTGTAATCAACACTTTCTGCAAACCGCATCATCAGCGGCTCAGCATATAAACATACATACATCCAGGCCAAATTGAGAATCTCTACGGCTGGTCAAAACGATAAACTCAATAGGACTTTTCCCGACTTCTCATTCTCCAGACTATAGACAGAAATAGTATCTTTTTTTTTTGATGTCGGGGGGAAACCTTCAAAATGCGCCTAGCTTTTTGGGGAGAAAGACTAGGGAGTGTGGGATTCTTACTTCACTAAAACCACCTCAGTGGCCACCCTCAGCACCTGTAAGGGGCACCGGGTCCTCTGAAGAGACCTGCTCCGGAGCCCCCACGGTGCAACGCCTGATACAGCACATCCCTAGGGAGACGAGCGTGTCCCTTGATCCAGACAGAAATAGTATCTAATTACCCATGAATGAATATTTTCACAGCAAAGTCGTAAATGTAAATGATAACCTAATACATATTGAAGTATTTCATTAATTGAATAATCATTATAATTATATCTATTTATAATGCAAATACTCGTATGATTAGAATATATCATTGTTAGTGGGGTCTTCATTAACACCTAGATATGTGTGACTATGCTAATTCCGTTGTGTTTGATTCGACAATATTGTTTTACTATTCAAAATAAGGTTAGAGGTGGGAGTTAGATTTTGGACCTTAAGGCATAAGTAACTGTTATCCTCTGCAGTTCTTAAAATTTTGAAAAAAAAGTACATAATAGATAGCAACGTTTTTGTTTCGTCTAACTGGAGGTGACATTGCGGCCACATGCCACCATAGATAGCATACCTACTCATTAACTATTTTTCAATCAACATA